TTATCGTTGTCTGCATTTCCCTTCATCTGCCCCAGCACCCTGAATATTAGAATTCTGAATTCCCTGCCAGGTAGTTCCAGTGTCTTTTCTTCTAGCAGAAGGTCATCAGGTGTTTTATTTTGGTCGCTTTCTGGAGCATCCTGTCATTTTTTAAATATGTTTAGATATTATCTCCTGTCTCTGGGACATTCAAGAATTATTTTGGTCATTTGTTGATTGTAGATTTGTTTTATCCTGCTTTTTTGTTTTATTTGGTTATGTCTGGGCAGGTGGGCTGGATGTGTTTTGTTACTTCCTCTCTTGTGGCTACAATACTCCTCACCACCTTGTCCAAGTAGGCGGGGTCGATCGCTCAGCTGCGGTGCAGCATGGGGAATCCAGCAGGGGGGAGAGGTCAGGATGGGTAGTTTGCAGCACCACCTGAGGCCGACAGCGTGTGGCCGGGAGGAGTGCAGGGCGGGGTACAGGGGCCTTCACTGGTGCCACTCGAGGGCGCAGTGCTCAGTGGGTGGTGCAGATCGGCAGGAGTTAAGGGAAAGGAAGTGAAGTGCAGAGCTAAGTGAATGAGTGCAAGAAGAGAAAGGAGAGAGAAAAGCAAAAAACGAAGGAAAAAAGAAAAAAGTGTAAATAAAATGATGGTGGTGTTGGATTCAGTGGGTTGGAGGTGGGGCAGACCTGGTGAGGCCACGTGCCAGTGGCTCTCTAGCCAAGTGGTGTGGGCAGTGCATGGGGCTAGATGAGTGGGAGAAAGGAGAGGAAAGAGGGGAAAGAGAAGAAACCAAGGAACAAACAAAAATAACAACAACAACAAAATAAATAACTAACTAAACAAATATGGGGGGCGGCCATTGGGGGTGGGGTGGACTTGGAGCGGCAGGGAGCTGATATCTTTCTTACCGGGTGGCATGTCACGGCCCGTCAGGAAGGGGCGGAGGCAGTGCAGTGGCTAGGTCAGAGGGAGAAGGAGAAAGATAAAGAAAAATACAAAACATGGTACTGAGGGAGCTGGCCTGTAAACGAAAGGAAGGAAGGGAGAGAGAGGGAAGCAACAAAAAAGCCCAAAAAGAAACAAGCAAACAAGCAAAATGGCGCTGAAGGGCCCAATTGATGGGAGTCGGGCAGACCCCGGTGGTAGTGAGCTCGTATCTCTCTAGCCGAGCAACCCTTTCCTGTTGGAATGTAGCAGAGGCCATGGGGAGGGAAGAAGGGTGAGGGGTGGGAAATTGTGTATCCCTGGTTCCTGGGTACTTTGTTGCCTGTTATAAGCTCTATGGAGTTGCCTTCCTGTGCTCTCTGTCTGCCTTCCTTGGTGGTTGTGGTCCAAGATGACCAATCTGGGTGGCAATGAGCTGGTGTCTCTCCAGCCTAGTGACCATCGCCTGTGAAACAGCGGCAGGGAAGAAGGATGGAGGGTGGGAAAGTGTGTATCCCTGGTTACTGGGTGCTCTGTCTCCTGTTTTGGGAGCTCCATGAAACTGTCTTCCTGTACTCCCTGTCTGAGTTCCTTAGTGCTTGTTGTCCAAGACGGTGAATGTGTGCCGCGTTAGCTGGTATGGGACCGCCCCTCCATAGCTCTCCTCCTTCTCTGTTCTCTGTCCATTTCTTATTCCATTTGGTGCTTGATTGAGTTCTTTACTCCTTCATTTGGTGCTTAGGGTTCCAGGATCAACATCTGTATCTGTTTTACTTAGTTTTCTGGGTCTTTGCTATAGAGGGATGGCATAATGCTTCTGTCTACAGTGCCGTGTTGGCTCCACCTCCCCAACTCACTTTTGAGATATAAAAGTGCAGATTAGGCACAGAGAAGCAAGCGTGAGTAGGGAAAGATAGATGCCACATAAAGTGGCTAAGGAATGTTAGAGAAGCTGAGACAAGGATTTTCTCCCGGAGTGGACAGAAAGAGCCTTCCCCTAGAGCCTTGCTCTGAGTTTGGACTTCTAGCCTCCTAAACTACGAGAAAATAAATTCCTGCTTGTTAAAGCCACCCACTGTGGCACATTTGTTACAGCAGCAGTGGGGAACTAAGACGGGGAAAGAGGCAAACATGACCTTCATACTTACCAGACAAGGACAGCTCTAGAAAGGAAAATTAGAGGCCAGCCTTACAAAAGGAGTGCAGAAACTCCCAATGAAATCTTAGCAAACAGGATCTAGCCATGATTAAAAACATGATACATGATGACTAAATTGGTTTTATTCCAGGAATGCAAGGTTGGTACAACATTACAAGAACTATTATACTAATGCAGTTCACCACTTTAACAGATTAAAAGAGAAAAAGCTTATCATCATCTCTGTTGATGCCTGAAAAGCATCTGATTAAATTCTGTAGCCATCCCCCATGAGAACTCTAGTAAATCAGGAACAGGAGAGATCTTTCCTTACCTGATTTGGGTTACCTACAAAAATGGCCTGGAGCAAACACCCTTTTCAGTACGAAGTGCTAGAATCAGTCCCCTTAGATCAGGAAGGAGGACAGATGCCCACTCTCAGTGATTTTATTCAGCATAGTAGTGAGGATTCTAGCCAGGGTGATGAAATTAGATGAAGAAATACACTCCTGCCTCTAAGCTCTCCCGTTCCCATTCTCTCTAACACACCCCGGTCACCTTCTGCCTGCTCATGACCTCCATGTTGCTACATCTAGTGGGCAGATCTCAGGACTGGTCTCTCCCCATCTTTCTGCAGCACCTGACGTTCTCCTGGGCTTCCTCCTAACTCATTGGCCGTTCCTTTGAGGTCTTTTAGTCCTAAATGTGTGTTTCTGGTCTGGACCACTGGACTGCTCTCCCGTGCTCTAGACTCCTCATGTGTTCATCTGCCGACTTGACATCTCCGCTCGGATGCCTAATGCCTGTCTTAAACCTCGAAAGCACGTAGAGCAGATCCCCATCTCCCCACCAAAAGGCTTCCTCCTGTAAACTTTCCCACAGACTTCTCCTCATCTTAGGAAATGACAGCTTCATCCTTCCAGCTGTTCAGGCCAGAAACGTTGGTGTTATCCTTGGTTCTTCTCTTTCTCTCATACCCCAAACCAAAAACCAAACCAGTTGCCATCGAAGCAGTTCCAGCTCATGGCGACCCCATGTGTGCCAGAGTAGAACTGGGCTCCATAGGGTTTTCAATGGCTGTGATTGTTGGACGCAGATCACCAGGGCTTCCTCCTGAGATGCTTCTGGGTGGATTTGAACCACCAGCTTTTCAGTTAGCAGCCCAGTGCTTACCCATTTGTGCTACCCAGAGACTCCATCTCATACCCAGCATCTCTCATATTCACCAGCATATTCTGTCAGCTCAGCTTTCAAAATATTGTCAGGATTTTCCCTCTTCTCACAAGTTTTACTGCAACCACCATGGCTGAATCGCTTACACATCTTGATGCTGTGATTACCGCGGTCTCCTAACCTGCCTCTGGGGTTCTGGCCCCCTCTCCCAACTTTGCTAAGTCTTTGCTCTACATACCAGGATCTTCTTAAGCGTCTTTCCTCTGCCCCAAGCCTTCTTCCAGTTACAACAGTACAGGCCAGGGAGAGACCAGGGAGTGACCCGCGAGGCCCTGCAGGCTCTGCACCTCCACGCCCCCCGCAACCACATCTCCTGCTTCTCTGCCGCACTGCCGCACCACCCCGCTCTCTGTGCTGTTCTGGGACTGTGCCAGACCGCCTCCTTCCTCGGGGTCTGTGCATTTCTTACTGCTTCTGCCTGGAAGGTCCCCCCACCCTAGACAGCTACGTGGCTTTCTCTCTTTGGGCCTTTGTTAGAATGGCACCTTCTTGGGTGACTGACTACACTGCAAATTCAATTGCAAACCTCCTCCCCCCAACAAAAAAATCTACTTCCCATCTCCCTTCTTTGCCTTGTTTTCTCCGCGGCACAGATCACATTTACTTTGTAAACTGTTAACACTGGTCGTCTCGGAGTCTCACGAGACAAGGCAGAACCACGACAGCGGCGCCCTGAGAGCTGAGGTTTGGGGAAACCCAGTCTAGGAAATTGGCACTACGCACTTGACCTGGGAGGTCACTGCCCGGGAAGGGGAGAGGCAGTGTGCCTCATCGGTACAGAATAGTGTGAGGGGTGCAGTGCCAGACAGGGTCCTGGTGGCGCAAGCTGTTTGTGCTCGGCTACTAACCTGAAGGTTGACGGTTCAGACCCACCCAGCAGCACCACGGGAGAAAGGCCTGGTGATCTGCTTCGGTAAAGATCATAGCCAAGAAAACCCTATGGAGCACAGTTCTACTCTATACCACGTGGGGTCGCCGTGAGTCAGGATTTACTCAGTGGCAACAGTTTGTTTTGTTTTGTTTTTGTGCAAGCTCCGAGCAGGGCTGGGCTGGGTCTCGGGGGAGGTGACAGGTCCCAGGTCTGCAGGGTGAGTGAGAGCTTCATAGAAGAAGAGAGGAGAGGACTGTGCGTGTGTAGATGCCGAGGAGAGAGACCACGGGCCTCTTTGCGGAGGGACACGCAGCGTCCTTCCCAGCCCAGGGACTTCCCGCCACCTCATTTCTGGATGAAGGAGGACTTGGTGTTGCACAGAGCCTGTGGCAGCTCTGCCGCTTACTTGGGCTCACTGAGGCAAGTCAGCCAACTTCTCTGGGCTTGCTTCCTCATCCATAAAATGAGAGAATCTGTCCTCATGCGAAGGTCGCAAGGAGGAGATTCTGTGCCTGGCGCGGAGTTAGTGCTTGATGAGTGTGTCTTTTATTGGTTATTATCTGTGCAAAAGAACAGAATGAACAACTGGGTTTGAGCTTGCCTCAAACCTGGTGTTCTCTTCACATCCTGTTCATAAGGCTGCTGGTACTTAAAGAGAAAATTGTATTTATTTTAATGAGACGAGAATTTGGAAATTAAGGCATTCGGTAAGAGTGAGTAAGTCAACAGAAGCTTTGGTTTTCTGTGAACCCTGATTAGATAACCCTGACTACTGCCGATAACCCTGCAGCTCCCCTAACAGCTCCGCCCGTTAACGCTTCTCGCCGTTCTTTCCTCTCTTACAGTCGGAACCCGAGGGCTTTTCTCATTTCCACTTGTACGTTTGTGCTGCTTTTCTTGTGAGATGGAGGAAAGAAATACTAGAAGAAAGAGATTTCCAGGTAAGTAAACGCCTTTTCAGAAGCGCCCGCGTTTGGTTTTTTACCAGGAGAAGGGTGTATTCAGTTTCAGTTCATGGGGTTGTTTGTGAGAGAGCTCTGGGAAGCGCCAGTTGCATGTCTCCAGCGATCTCTCGCTGAGTGAGAACCCGTCACAACTGAAGCAACAAATCTGGCCGTGGTCACGTGAGGCACAAACCCCGCCTGGGTCATGAGGCGTTAAATGTGGCTGGTTAACCAGCTCCCAGAGAAACTTCAGGAGCTACGGTGGTTCGCGACCGTGTGGCCCTGTGGGGGAGGTGGGTGTGGCCTCGGACTCCAGAAGCTTCCTTATATCAGCAGGGCTGTGATGCATTAGGGAGGGTGTTGGGCGGTAGTCGGATCTGTTCTGGCAGTTGCTGTGTGACATGGGGCCCACTGCACCACCTCTCTGAGCCACGTTCTGGGGCAGCCACACCTGCTCCACTTGGCGGTGGCACGTACTGAGCAAGCGTCCTGCAGGCTCTGCTGGATCATGGGGCCTCCCTGTGGACCGAGCCCCCATCCCAACCCCATCCCTAACTGCTGGAAGAGTATTGGCCCACCGTTACCTGAGGTCCTGGGCCAAGTCTGCCACCCAGGGCCCCCCGGGTACCTCCCCGCATGGTGGGCGGCATGTGGCCAGTGAGGAGGATGCCGTCATCCCGTGACCCCTCATCTTGCAGGTGACGACAGGCTGTTTAAGTCCCTTGGCTCTTGGTCACCATGCCGGCGGCTCTGGGCAGCTCGCCTGGCTGGCCGTGCCTCAGTTTCCGTGCTTGTCTGGCGGCTCTGGGCAGCTCGCCTGGCTGGCCGTGCCTCAGTTTCCGTGCTTGTCCGGCAGCTCTGGGCAGCTCGCCTGGCTGGCCGTGCCCCAGTTTCCGTGCTTGTCTGGCGGCTCTGGTGACCCCTGCTCCTCCCCAGAAGGGCAGTGGGGGCCAGGAAGTCCTGGCTGTGGGAACAGGGCCGCCTGGGGCTTATTATCTCGGCCCCCAGGAAAGGATCAAACAAGTGAAGACCCCTGCCTGGGACCAGGCGCCGCCCCTGGGGCCCCCAGCCCAACAGAGCCCAGCAGTGTGGTGTTCATGCTGCACGCACCCGTCAGGGTTGGGGGAGCATCCGTGCAGCTGGCTCAGCTCCAGGCCCGGCCGCTGCTCCTGCCGGACCCCTCTGGCCTCGATGCTTTGTCTGTGAAATGGATAGAAGCGGCCTCCCTGCCCTGCCTGGCTGGCTCATAGCGGCACAGAGAGCAGGAGGGCCTCTGGCCACTTTGCACATGGGACCGTGGAGGTGCTGACAGGGGAGGTGGCATGCCTACATCTCTGCATACCAGAGGCTGGAACAGGGTCTCCCTGCCATGCCCACCGCTGCTTCCCATGGCTTCTTGCCCCCAGGAGGAGCTGGGGGTTGTGGGTGACCAGGCGCTCGTTTGAAGGGCGAGGACCACCAGGAGACCTTGTCTGAGATCCAGATGGCCAGTGTCCTCTGGGACTCAGCTGACGAGGTGCCGGGAGCCGTGGCTGCGCCAGATGTCACAGGTGTTCCTTGTCCAGTCATAGTCGGGCCCTCTGACTTGGGAAATGAGTTTCCTGGACACCCAGATGGACGTTTCGCCCCATGGGGGGCCGTGCCGGTGGGAGAGGTGCATAGGAGGGGGTGGGCTCGTGAGGCCGGCTGCACTCTGCACCAAGGTGCCCCAGGCAGGAGGCTGTGGAGCTGACTCTGGGCCCAGCGGCGCTCACGGCCTCCTTGGGAGAGAGGCTGGAAACCACACAGGTGCCTCTGCACCCCACACAGGACAGCGCTGTGTGCTTCCCCACCCTCATGAGGCCACTCAAGGAGGGCTGTGCCCCTGGGCTGGAGGAGGCACGCTGGGCAGCCTGGGTTATGGCTGACACCCTGTGCTGGGAAACGTGGCCCGAGCCCTGGAGGCCAGGGTAGTGTCTTGGTCACCCAGGGGGTGGAGGACAGCAAACAGGCACAGCTGCTGGGCGGGAGGGACCAGGCTGGTCTGGGGGTGGCAGGTTGGGCTGGGCCCCTGCTCCCGTGGCACCTATGTGGGCTCTCCATCCTCACCCCAAGAGCCCTGTGATGGCTGTGTCCAGGGACACTGGCAGGGCCGGTGGCTGCAGGCTGCCTGGGGCTCCGTCGTGTGGGAGCCTGGCCCGAGACCACGGGACTCACGGTGGCCTTGAGAGATGCAAATAACGACGGGCCGCTGATCAGCTCCCGTGTTCCATTGCGCTTCTTAAGAGATGCAGCTTGTGTGCTGTTCCGCTGCAGACAGCTCCCTGTTGTGATTAGGGGATGCAGCTAGGGCAGCCAATGAAAACGTTTTGCCAACCCTCCTGGAGCTCTGCTCACTTAACTCGAGGCTAACAGAGGACGGAGAGGTGTGGCCGAGGAGCGAGGAGCGGGGTGCCGGCACGGGCTCCTGGGAGCGGGCAGGGGTGGTGGGCTGGCGGAGGGGCCACAAGGTGGGCTTTTTTCCCCTCTAAGCTCAGAATAAATTAGTGCTTTGATGTCATGGTTTGGAGGGAGAGCGTGTTATGAGCACCAAAATGTGTTGCGGAGAGTTGAACTGAATGGGAAAGGAAATAAGAAAACAGAAATTAAATAAAGAACCTGCAGAGTCCTGGTGTGTTGGGGGGAATTGCAGTGGCAATTGTGACATTTTAGGGGAATGACTGTCCCCACGGGAGACAGCCGGAGCAAGTGGTCGCCAGTAGTAGGACGTTTGTGGAGGACAGCTCTGAAAACCCTCCTCTGTGCACTGGCCCTTTAAGTCATGTCCACAGGAACGGATTCCCAGAGAAAGGCCGAGGCTCTCCTGGCATTAACAGGAGCCCCGCTGTGGGGTGGCAGGGCGGGATTGGTTCTGCTTTCCCGGGATTCAGTCCCAAAAGCCGGCAGGAAGTGCAGTCCAGGCCGTGCCGCCTTCCCGGCCCTGTGGCTTCCCAGGCATGCCCAGGCCAAGCTTTGGCTCCGGTCAGTTCCGTGAGTCCGCGAGGCTGGGGGAGGCGGGGCGGGGCAGGTGTGCCCCAGCAGCAGGCGTGGGGTGGCGTCCAGGCAGGATGAGTCCAGGTGTGCCAGCGTGCAGTCAGCCTCCCACTCGGGCCTCCTGGAGCCTTTGCATGGTGATGCTTTCTGAGATGGGCTGCTGGCCACTGGGTCTGCACACTGGGTACCCAGGTGGTGGTCATTGCTTCTTGAGGGCCCGCCCTGCCCGGCTCGCCCTCGGGTGGCACTATCCCCGTGCACGTGGCCTCCGCGCCTTTATTCCCCCCACCCAGCCCTGCCGGACTTCAGTCGCTTGCTCCCTCCCTCGTCTGGACACTCCCGCAGTGCTCACGGGCACTGCCCTCCCCACCTCTGCCAGAGTGGTCTGGTCCAGACGCAGCCTGGCAGTGGGGTCCTGCCTCCCTTTCCCCGACTTCTACCCGTGACTGTCAGCTGTGTGGAGAGGGGCCCCCCTGCGTGGAGGTCTGGGGTCCCCGGTGGGGCACCGACTTTCCCAACAGCTCCCTGACGTCCTGCAGGGTGGCAGGGTGTTACCCGAGAGCTCTTCCCGCAGGGATGGCTGCCACCTCCCCCGCCCTTTGCGCCACCCCATTCAGCCCTGTAGAACCTCCTCAGGCCCCGGGGCTGGGCGCACCTTCCAGCCGTTCCGTGGCTCCTGTTACTGGGCCACAAGTCCCGAACCCAAACTGGGGTCACATCTTATGTAAGGTATTTGTTTGCTCGTTCTAACTGAGCGGGAGAGACTGTTTAAACCCCAGATGTTGGAATTACTGGGTTGTTTGGCTGATTAATGGGTGTACATTACAGAATAGGAGAAAATAAGCCATTCTGTCCCCCAAAAGTCCAAACCTCTTGTGTGACTTCCCAGAGTGGGGGCCCTGACTGTGGCCCCCTTTCCAGCCTTCACCCTTTCCAGCCATGACCCCGGTCCCCTTTGTAGCCGGCTGTTCCTGCCACCTGGTCTGGCCCTCCCTGACCCCATACTTGGCCCGTGTTTAGTCAGGAGCAGGGTGCCAGGCAGGGTCACTTCTGCCCAGCCAGCTGGGGTCACCCTGCCCACCAGATCCTGGTCAGTGGGCCACAGCAGGACGCATGCAGAAATGCATCGTGAAATTGGAAAATCCTCCATTGGCACGAGGCGCGGGGATCAAGGCCGTTGCAGCTTTTCAGGAGAACGAGCCCCTCAGGCACAGAAGGAGAGGCGGGCCGTGGTTCTGTTTGCTTTTCAGAGTAGAGAAGGCAGTGGATTGATGGAGACCAGAGCACGGCTCTTCCGCGGCCATCGTAAACCTGCTCTGTGGTGGCCGAAGGCACTCGGGGTCTGTAAATACTTCCGATAAATTAATACACTGTTGAGCAACTTTGGACTAATGGCAGCCTCATCAGGAGAAGGAGCGTCCTGTGAGCGCAGGGTGGCGGCTGCCCCAGGATTCCTGTGGGCTGTGGACGCAGCCTGGGAGGACGGGGCACCAGGCCTCGCAGCGGCCGTCCGGGATGCCTGTGGGCTGTGGACGCGGCCTGGGAGGACAGGGGTGCTGGGCCTCGGAGCTTGGCCAGGGCTCCTTCCTTCAGCCTTCTGGGTTCTCACATGGAACTCTGAAGTCTGAGTTGCTCAGAGGGGCAGTGATTTGAACAGGGAGTGCTGTGCCTGGCGTGAGGGGCATCATGGTTTGCTTTCCCTGATCCCCACGCCCTCACATGTCCCGTGAGGTAGTCTGCACATTGGCCTCTTTGCTTGTTGGTCCCTTTGCAAACACCCAGGCGTCCTCACTCGCTGCAGAGCAGATGCCTGAGGCCCAGGTTCTGCCCCTGGCAGGTGGGCTGAGCTAGCTGGGGAGGGTCCCAGGCTGGGGCCGGGGTGCTGTGAGGCTGGGGGTATGGCAGCCAGGGGATCAGGGGGCGTGGGTGCTGTGGGGCCAGGGGACTGAGGTCATGGGGTCCGGGGGGCATGAGGGCCATTGGGA